TCTCTATTACCTCCTCCACAGGTCTACTTTTGCCATTAAAATTCTGTTGTTCCTCTCCTCACAAACCACCCAAATAGTTGCAGCCTTAGTAACTTTCTACATCATTCTTCCTCTTTTCTTTGGTTGCCTAGGAAATTGGATCTGAAAATTTCCACCACCTCATGGGGAGGGATCCATCTTCAACCAAAAACATAACAGAAAAACTCCCTAGATATGTCGAACAAAGGAGCAAGAGATTAATTTATGGGGTAGGGTTTCTTCACTTTTCCTACACAAGAAGCACATATGAGGAGAGGCATAATCAAAAGGCCTTCTTTTTGCAACACATCACAGGTGTTATCCTTCCTTTCCAAGGAAAGATTTCCAATAGAAAGCTTGAACTTCTTTCACCGGGAAGTCCACCCCATGTGAAGCATGTAAGGTTATGAACTTGAAAAAAGGGGCTAGTAAAGAGTCCATCAGGTGATGGAACCTAGATTCTAGAGTCATCCAAGAGAGGGTCAAAAAAAGAAGTCTCCAAGATATTAAGAAGGTTAATCAGAGAAGAAAACTCACACTCACTTAGGTCTCTTTTAAAACGTAAGTCCCAGTTGATGCCTGAGGGGGAAGGAGTGCCCAAAGAGGATATTGGTGCACCTTTACGGTTAAAGAGGGCAAACAAGTCAGGGAACTGGTCTTTTAAAGGATATTCCCTTATCCAAAGGTCTTTCCAACACCCCTTCCCAAATCAAAGCATGTAGAACTGAGGAAGGGTATATCTCATGAATTGTTTTCCACGGGGAGCCAGGGAGGCTGAAGTTGAATGATGGTTGAGTTTAGTATCCCAACCATTACCTTCCACACCATGAATGCTTGCTGCTTTGTCACAGCTTGCCTCTTTCAAAGGGGACCTCCATAACCATTTAACCAACAGAGCAATATTCCCTAACCTTAGACCCCCTAGTTCTTTTGGTTGACATACCTGTTTCCACTTAACTAAGTGATCCTTTTTTTTCATCCCTCAGTTTCCACAAGAAATCCCTCGTATATTTCTGTCCGTCTTGCAATCCTTGTTGGTACACGGAAATTGGATGGGAAGTAAATAGCTTGTTTTTTAGCAATCCTCTCTAACACCAGTTTCCGAAAACTATCACCTCTCAGGTTTCCCTCAAACTCAAAGGTAGTACTAGGTAGATTACAGGCCAACTCCTCACCTCACAACCCAACACCTCTGCAAAACTTGAAAGTTCTTCCTTTTCCAGGTTATTTCCTGCAATTCCACTCTTACTCCAATTTATCTTCAGCCTCGATGAGTCCACAAAGTAGTCAATCAAAAACTTCAAAATTGTATCATCACCATACTGGAGGTGTGAAACCACAACTTGGTTCCTACCATTTCTCCACCACCTAATGAGATCTTGTGCATCTGCAGCCACAATCATACCACTCAACACTTCTGCCACAAGGGGGAAGAGAAAAGGTGATAAAGGGTCTCCCTATCTGGTTCCTCTCCTAGCTAGAAAGAAATCTTTTTCTACCCATTTATAAGAATTGAATAATGGACTAAGGTAACATACCCTTTCACCCAGGAAATGTATTACAAAACCCATTTCTCTTGGACTTCTAACTAAAAGTTCCATTCAATTGAATCATAGGCCTTTTCCAAATCCAATTTGTAACCAGGATCTCCATCTGCAGTTCTTCTGGGAGCACTTTCAAGACTGTAGGAGCATAACAACCCAGGGAACAACTATTCCAATTAGGGATGTACTGATCTTTGCACAGCTCAATTCAAACTTGTGAACTGATCCATGAGCTTGGTCTTAGCTCAGGCTCATTTTAGCAGTTTAGCTATACTCAGTGCCTGCTTGGCTCTTCTTATTTTGATATTAGAAGGCAAGGTTCAGAATATCGATACGCCCGATACGCCGGTATGGGCGTATTGAGCGAATCAATATTATTTTATTTAGTTTTTTATTTTTTTATTTTTTTCTGAAACCGGTTCAGGTCTCCTCCATCCTCTGAACCGGTCATACCCCTTATACACCCACTATAAGGGCATATCGGTGGGGTCCCGAAACGATACGTATCGGCCGATACGGGTTGATACTTTGAACCTTCTTAGAAGGTAGAACCACCTTATCCCAAATATAGAGCCCATGCTTTGAGGTCCTCATCATTAAACCATTAATTTTAAAATTTAAGTTTATATTTCTTATTAATATTATGTTTAATATTTTTGATTTTCTTTTGCATTTTTTTTGAATTTTCCGACTCTGGTTTTTTAGCAAATTTTTGTATTTTCGTGCCTTGCTTCAAAAAGGCACGTGTCTTGGGTGCAAATTGGCCCTTGGGATTTTTTTATTTTTTTACTTTTTGCGCCTTGCTCTTTTAAAACACTGGTCTACTGCCATAGTTCCGATTGTTAACCACTAAGCGCTGAACTTTGACTTAGATTCATGGATGGAATATCCCATTAAAATCTTTAGTGGTGCCTTTCACCACACTTTCACGAGTTTTCTCCATGCCAACGGCAAATCCACCGCACGGTCTATATTAACATGCTAGATTGGTTGAGATGCTCATCTATCAAGAACATCTCATGAAACTATTTTTGGTGCTATTATCAATAATAGATTGTCTACTCATCAAAAAAAACAATAGATTGGCTGGCTATTTAGCATTGGATAGGTTGTCAGATGTACTGAGGTGGTGCGCTGCTGTGATAAATTTGACCACATCACATTTGAAATACTGCTAGATGATGTGGCATGAATCAGCATGAGGACAGGGATGCAAAGTACTATAGCCAAATCTGATGGCAAGAAAATAACTTGTTTTACTTCATATCCAAGTGCAAATGGAACCAAAGTTTTAAAATTTATTATTTCCAGCTTTCACTTTTGAGACTTAAATATTCAGCTTTCAGTATACCAAACAGCCCAATTTAATTTTTAAAAGAAAAATCTTACAAATGCTTCAATCTAAAGGTCATTACTCAATGGTGGTCTCAGCTGTCTGGTGTATTGTGATGGATACACTGTATACAAACATTATCTTATGTCTTGTTCTTTTCTCCAAATTGCCACTCTTAGATTAGAACCTCTGTTCTCATGCTTGTCATTCTGAGGTTTTACCATTACACCAAGCAATGGCCCCCAAGTGCTTTAATGTGTAAGTTGAAATTAAGGCTCAGTTTGGAAAGAGTACAAATACAAATAAGTACTGTGCAAATATATACAAAATAATAAAAAATATAAGGTTTTGTAGTCTACAAATTTGTATTTGTACTCCTTCCAAACTGAGCCTAATATTTACAAGTGGGCCTAGATGCATGTTTATACCATTTGATCTTTGAACAAAATGAATAACTGGCCTCTGTACGTGTTTAAATCTGATTATAGTCAGGTTAGGTTGAGCTTTCCAACTATGATCTTTGGAAAGACCTTAGCTTTGGTAATTGAATTGAGTTTTTCCTTTTGTGGTTATCAATTATGATCCAAATATGACTTAGTTGGATCAATTATATATCATTTAGGACCCAAATTGATCGATTAACAGCTTTGTTTCTAGATGTTGCAATTTTAAATGAGCAATTATGGTCTATAGGAGCTTGGGTTAGACCAAAAAAGAACAGGGATTGGAGTAGTGAGAAAGGATTTAAGGACCTATAATTTAACAACTGATATGGCAGTGATCAGAGCTGAATGGTGGAGCATGTTTCATATGGTTGACCCCATACAGTTGGGACAAGGCCTAGTTGTGTTGAGTTAAGTTGAATGTTCATCAAGCATTTGAACAGATATCTTACCCGTGAATCAACAAACTACATGGCATTGTGTTGAGTTAATTAAGCTATATTACAGTAGATCTGGGTGTGTATATCACCTTGTGACTTGTGAGGTGTAAACCAAGTGGAACACATTGGTCCTCTCTACTAAGGAGAAAACTAGGGAATCATTGATTTGAGAGTCGCTAGGTTGGCTCATCGGTTGGATAAAGGGAAGAGTTTAAGGTCTAAATTGATGATGATATAATGATTGCTGGATAGATGTGGGATTAATGTGATGGGTCATCAACCAATTAGAGATGCCCTTATATTAGAATGATTTCCTCCAATCAATCACAAAACCACACTCAGCTTTGACAGAAGCTGTATTAGGAATCTGAAGGCTTTAGGGATTGGAGGGTTATTCAGATGTCTTGATAGTAAAATGTTGATAGCATATGCTGGACCTATAGAAGGTGACTCAAACTGTGATGAGCTTCTAGTGCTTTTGTCACTCATTTGGATGCTATCATTTTGTTAATAGAAGATTTTTCACTAGTCAGGGTTGCTCCCTGTTGTACTGATATGCTTGCTGCTGTTTTGGTTTTATTTCCTTTCAAATCAAGGTGCTCTCATTATTTAACTGATAAAGACATCCTTGAGCTTCATTGTTTAATTAGAACTTTTCTCTATTGTCTCAGGATAAAGTCATAAAACTATCTTATTGCATGTGTCCTGCTATGCAAGTTAGTTTACTTCTGTGTCCTGTGTATGCCTCTTTGGAAAATTATGTTTGAGATGGCCTTTGATTGTATATTCTAACACCATCAATGTAACATCTTGGGGATTTTTCTAAATCTTTGTTTTTTTTTTTAAATTTTCAATAAATTAATGCACATTGTACCATATATTGGACTATGCTTTGGTATCTGTTCTCGATCCAACTTTGCATTATGATATATGTGTGCTAAGTCTGTTTTACATATATGCATTGCTATGCTTGGTTTCTTATTTTAACTTTTCTTTCTTCAGAGGACAAGCATATCACCACCACCATCACCCATCATCATTTTGCACTTGCGCTTGGGATTTGCTTTATTTATATTTTTCATGTCTTCCACCTGGACAAATGCCACAATTGTCATAGTATTTTTCTGATAGCAAATTTTTCACTGCCTTGCCTTCCTGCCTCTTGTTATTACTACAGGTTTCTAACTGTGTTTTGAAAAGAATTTTATTGTTTCTTTTGCAGCAAGATTTTTTCCCCAAGCTGATGGACCTGTTTAGAATATGCGAAGACTTAGAAAATATTGATGGTCTTCACACAATATTCAAAATAGTCAAGGGGATTGGTTAGTAGTTTTGCTTTTGTATTTTATTCTCTAAGCCTATCTTGCAGTTTTTTGCGTTTCTTCTGTTGATACAAACTTCTTTTTGGTTGTCTGCAGTTATGCTTAATAACTCTCAGATCTTTGAGAAAATTTTTGGGGATGAGCTCATCATGGATATTATTGGGTCCCTCGAGTGTAAATTCCTATACACTTATGTTAAATTTTAATTTACTTTTTGTTATGAACACTAAATTTTACTAACATGATCAGTTTAACATACTGTCTATGGTGAGGATCTTGTTTGTAGGTACTAGGTAGTTAAATTTTCATGGTCATATTACAATATTTGGGACTGTACTTTTTATCTTAATGGTTCATTGTTCTCCCATTTGCCTTTTAGTCAAAATTTTAGCTGAATGGTAATTGGGATTGCAGAACAGGTTGCTGAAAGGTTTTGATAAGAAGCTGTTTTGTTTTAGTGATGGTACAGTTCTATTTTTGGGTCCACAAGTCCAAACAGCCAAGAGAATTTATCACTTTTAACATATATCATGATAAGATCATATGATCAATTGTAGATTTGTAGGGAATATATGCACTTACTCCATATCATGTTTTTGGGGCCCTGTATAGGTTTCAAGAAATTATCCACATGGAAAAGGAGCTATATTTCTTTGGCAGGAAGAATAACTCTAATTAAATTCACCCTTGTCAACTTTGCAAGTTCATTCCCTTTTGGTTTTAAGAATGCTAGTGTCATGAGAGATTTTCTTTGGGAGCTTGGAAACTAAAAATGATTAGCTAAAATAGAGTATTGTAATAAAAAAAACAAAAGGGAAGCTAGGTAAAGCTTGGGTACACAATCTCTTAGACATTCTGCCTTGCTAAGTGTATGGTTGTGGTGTTTCCCTCTGGATACAACAAACTTTGGCATGCTGTGATTAGAAGTATCCATTGCCTTTTGGATGATGGATGGGGCATTGGCTTAACGATAGACAGTTATGTCTCCTTGGAAATCTTTTTTTTTTTGATCAGCAGAAAATTTATTTTATTATATTTAATTATAAATGAGATCGGTACAACTTGATGATAAAAAAGTCATCCCCCAACAATCATAATTAAGGCCTGTTTTGTGCGTCTTTCCATGCAGTCTGTTGGCTATTTAGAAGCCTGGCAGACTGCGTTTTGGTCTTTTCCTCATAGTTTTCAAGGCGTCTAGGCAATTCTGGGCAACACTGGAAACGCCTAGTTGCCTAGGTGATAAAATTTTATAATATAAAATTCTAACTTTTGGCTAGGTCCTAGTTCCCTAGTTTTATATACTGTTCAGCATGTATATTAATTGAAAAAATAGCAATTCTCTTTATTAAGAACATTACATTTCCGCTAAAAATGTGGCAAATCATCACATCTAAAAGATAAAAATCTTTTACATATATTAATTTAATTATTTGCAAAAATAATACTGCTATAATAAGGATTTAGTAGAGAATTTCATATCAATTAGCAGCTAAAGGTCAACTTTATATGCTAAATATTCAAGATGGAAAATAAAATAGCAAAAACAAGGATGGAGTTTCTGTTTTATTTAAATTAGAGAGAGAGAGAGAATAGAAAAAACAGAACCTCTTATAATTCTATTCTTTCTTCCTTTCTTTCTTTTTCTCTCCTCAAAACCCCTTGATCTTTTAAATTTCAATAGTAAAACATTAAAACAAAGTATACTGATATATATAGCATATAATAAAATGTATTGACACATACATTAATAAGATGCAACAATATAAATGATTATAAAGGGTGCCCGCCTTGTCATTTTTGTTGCCTTGGCAGGTGCTTAGTCACCTAGAAGGGCGTCTAGTTGCTAAAAGTCAAGGCGCTTGGGTGAGGCACCCAGCCAAGGGGGTGTAGTCGCCTAGGCGACGCCTTGACAACTATGCTTTTCCTGTTTGGTTTGTTGGAGATCTAGCCGCCAAACGACATTGTGCTGAAAAGACGTGCGAAGCCCGTTTTGGGCGATTTTTGGGAAGTTCCAAATGGAGCTTTTTTTTTTTTTTTAACTTGTCTTTGCGCAGAAAGATGCGTGGAAAGATATGCCTTAACCGAATGGTCTTTAGGCTGTCAAGATCTTAATGCAAAAGCTCACTACATCTTTTGACTGTCAGAGCTTCCAGAAGATAAAAAGACTTGCCAAACGGCCCCTAAAGTTACATGGAAGCCCAAAGCAATTGTTGCCTCAATACCCCTTGTTTTGCAAAGGAGTCAGCTAACCCATTTGCAATCCTTATTACCAACTTGAATTCAGCATTTATGTCTTTTGCAATTCTTTCCACTTCCCTTAAAATGTGTTTGAGAGTCCATGGGATATGTCTATAGCCGTTTGCCCATGAAATAACTACTTTTGAATCCCCTTCTACCCTCTCCTGTCTATAACCCTGTTGCTTTGCTAAATGAAGACCTTGCAACAGTGCCAATAATTCAGCCTTCTGGGAGTTTCCCATGCCAATTGACCCTGAAAACAGAGCCAATATCCTACTCTCAAGGTTTCTGATTACCCCTCCTATTCCTGCCATACATGGGTTACCAAAGGAGCTCTCACAGCCTTCAGGGAGTTTCCCATGCCAATTGGCTCTGAAAACAGAGCCAATATCCTACTCTCAAAGTTTCTGATTATCCCTCCTATTCCTACCATACATGGGTTACCAAAGGAGCTCTCATCAAAGTTCAATTCTACTTTGTTTCCTTCTGCAGGTTTCCACTCCATTCTTATTTTTTATTTTTCTCTTGAGGCCTGCGTGGCTGTGCTACCTCGGTCCAGGCTCTTAGGATGTCAGTGACTGAGAAAATTTAGAAGCTATCATAGGTCTTACCCACTGTGCTACCTTCTATTTTATGTTGTCTATTACCTCCTCCAAAGTTCTGCATTTTCTATTAAATATTCTGTTTTTCCTCTCTTCCCAAACTACTCAACTAACTGCTGCCTTGGTAGCTCTCCATTGTATTTTCCCTCTCTTCTTTGGTTGTCTCAAGAAGTTAGGATTGAAGATGTCCACCACATCTTGAGGGGGGTCCCACTTGCAACCTTAAAGAGAGCAGAAAAACTCCCAGATTCTATACACAAAGGAACAGGAGATTAATAGATGGGAGAGGGTCTTGCCACTACTCCTACATAAGAAGCACAATTTAGGAGATGGTCTCCTTGGAAATCATTCTCTCTTTTTCTTTTTGTGATCTTTGTACCTGAGGGTTAATGTTTCTATTGTTGATAAAACCTAGTTTTGGGACGAGTGGATAACCTATGGTGGGGTGACATGTTGTTAAAAGTTTCCTACCTTGTTTTCATTTGCTTCTAGAAAAGAAGTCTATTTCTCTTTCTGCTTCCTTGACAAATGCTGGGATTTCCTGGGAATTTGGTTTTAGAAGAGGATTGAGATATTGTGAGACTTCGTTGATGTTGGATCTCATTCATTTCCTTCATGGGGTTTTTCCTGATCCAACCTTCCTTGACCAAAGAGTGTCAACCTTGAATTTCAAATGCATCTTCTCCTGTTCTATCTTTGCCCTGTAAGCCATTTCATGGGATTTTCTGGCAAAAACCATTTGGGCAGGTCCTGTGCCACCAAAGTTTGATGTTTTTTAGGAGGAATACACTTGAAAGTTAGCACTTGTGAGGTCATGCAAAAAGGGAAGACTTAACTGGTGCCTTACGTGCAAAAAAAAAAAAGACTGCTATTTGCCTCATTGTTACTGTGTCCTTTTAAAAGCAGAGTCATATAGAAAAATGTTTTGGTGGGTTAGTTCAAAAATTATGATCAAGTAATAGTGGAAATTGTTAGTGTTTGTTGAAAACCCAGGGATCAAATCGTATGTTTGGGATATATGATCATTTACTAACTTGTCTCTCTTTTTGGTGATACTTGCATGATTTCACTTTGGTTTTTCATTGGTAGAACTTGAGATTCCTCCCAAGTCAATGATTTCAACATTACTTTCTAGCTGCTTTGTGTAATGTCTTAAACAAAATTCTCATTTTTGCATTCATACAAACACTTGAAATTCCTTTTATGTTTTATTTTTTTACTTTAACTGCCATGCTTTCTGAAAACACACCATTTCTCATTGATTTTCAGTTAACATGTGCATTTGTATTTTGAATTCTATGGTCTTCTTGAATAATATTCAAATTCTCCATTGTTGGAGTATTCATGTGAGTAAAATTATCTTAATTGCTGGTTTTGGATGTATAGTTTCTTTTCTTACTGGTGTGTTTAGTGATCCACTAATGTTTCTGCTCTATTCTTCATAATATTGATCTTCAGATGATCCTGACATTCCTCATGTACAACATCGTTCTTTCCTGAAGGAGCATGTGGTTTTTAAAGAGGTAGTATTATACAAAGCTGCTGCTCTTATTTCAATTTTTGGTTATAGGTATTTTGTTTCCTTTTTTTTGTGGGGTGGTGGTAGATTTGAAAGAAATCTACAGTCTTCAGTCTCATTCATATGGAATGATTACTTTTCTATGTTACATTATGCTCCCATCTGTAGGCCATTCCTATCAGAGATCCCATAGTTTTGTCGAAGATCCATCAAACTTACAGAATTGGTTATATAAAGGTCTGTATTACTTTATATCGGGTTACTCACTGTTTATTTTTTCTCCTCTTTTCTTTTTTTTGGTTTATTTATATTTTGGATTGAGGCACTTTAGCTGTTGTCATTCTTAGGATGTTATACTGCCAAGAGTTTTGGATGAGGCTACGATTGCTAATCTTAGTTCCATCATTCATTCAAATAATGCTGTGGTAAGTTCCTTTTCTTTGAGTGTTTAACATTTTGATGATCCATGTTCTTTTAATTTTTTTATCAGTAAATAAAGATTTTATTAACTTCAGTTGAGGTATTACTATTACCCCATTAGGCAATTTTAGAGTTTTGCCCAAAATAATTGTTGTCTACCAGTCCCATGTTTAGCCAATTTATCTGCCATGGCGCCATCCCATTTGCTGTTCTTCTCACCCATCTAAACATAACATTCATCTCCCTTGCTAAACTTTCTATTTCCCAAATTGTGTGCCCATAGATCCAGTTTTCACTTAGCTTTAATATGTGTGCCTATTTCCCGAATTCTGTGTTCTTTTCAGTTTTCACTTAGCTTTGAAATGCAATGTTCTGCCTTGCTGTAGGTTGTTTCTTTGTTAAAGGATGATAGCACCTTTATTCAGGAATTGTTTGCAAAGATGAGATCACCCTCCACATCTGCAGAATCAAAGAAGAATTTGGTATTCTTTTATTTTGTACTTGTAGTTTATATTAATTTTATTTATCAGATTGCATCAATATCTTAAATTTAGAATACACACTTTTTTCGTCAACTAGTCCGTGTCTAGGCACCATCTAGTCATTGCATTGACTTTTGTGGCCAAAATGACTAATCGTCGCTTCACCACATAGATAACACTGGGCCATGGTGATGTTCTAATGCGTTCACTATGCCTTCTAGATCAATATTGATGTATATTATGTTGCAGTGATTGAACGTTGCTTGTAGGTTTTCTTTGTGAACAAGAGGACATTGTTGAATGTTTTACATCAGCAATTTTTTCTGTAACCAGATTTGGTATCAGGAAAATTAAATCACTTTCTCCTAGTTTTTTGGCTCTTCATGATCCTTTCTGAGGAGGTTTTTTTTTGGGGGTCAAGTATCCTTCCCCATCCATTAAGAGGGGGAAGATTCTGTGAAAGTGTGCTAGCATTGTTATATTGCAGTGTGTGTAGGAAGGGAGAAACACGAGGTTGTTTGAAGACAAGAAGCAAGTTGTTAATGATAAATATAAATTGTATGAAGATCATATTATTATTAAAGTAAAAAGGAGGGTGAGAAACCCTCAAAGTATAATATAATTGCTGACATGCTGATCATAAGAGTGGCTCACTAGGTAGTAGGTACTAATAATGAAGGAACTTGAATCATCTTGGTAACACTGCTGAGGAAGTTGCATGGTGGCTCACTAGGTAAAGTGGTCTTGTTACACACTTCAGCGACAAGCAAATATTCCATGGCAGTACTAATATAGTTGTAGATTTTCATATAATAGAAAGGATCATGGGCTACTCTAGGGAGCAGATGCTCCAACTTCTACAGAAGTGTTTTAGACAATGGAAAGCAACAAAGGGAAATAGTAAGGAAAGAATAGATTGGGTGTGGCAACTAGTTGAAGCATCTAACAAAGGTCGTAATGGATAAGGAGGTGGTGGCTGAATGAAAGGCATTCCTCTGCAAATGCCTGGTTGTGTGATTTGAGGGTAGCTATCCTGTGCTGGGGGAGGTTAGAATTAGCTGTGCTAGGTTGTATGTTCTGTCAGAAGTCAGGTATTAGAAGACTTCTTAGTGGAAACCTCTTCTTCATTCTTTCCTAGGGGGTGGAGGTCTTGGACACTCTTCTCCATGGTCGTTTGATCCTTTTGTGGGAGTTGTCCAAGCTTCTGAAGGGTGTGGATGTTGGTGGTAAAGGTGTTTGGAGTTCCTCTTATTGCATGGTGCATAGCAATGTTTAAGGATATCTATGATACCTTTTGGTTTTATTGAAGTTGATGAAGGAAAAAATTAAGTTGGAGAGCTTTGGGCTCTATGCTCCTTAATCTGGGAAAGATCTTTATTTAAGTAAATAAAAATTTTATTAAAATAAAAAGAATACAAGAAAGGTAACAAGAAGTTTCCTGAGAGAACAAAAAAAGTCTCTCTCAACCAGATATAACCCTCTGACCTCCCTGCCTTGGACTCAAAAAAACCCCAGAAGAAAAATCAAAACTAAAGTTAGTCAGATACACCCAAACCAACATAAGACCAAAACCCACAACCCTAAACCCATGCACCAACTAAACGCACAAAAGCACACACAAAAGATTCCCAAACAAACAACCAAAATTTCCACACGTATAATTGTAGAAGCCTAGCTCAACACTACTTAAGTTTAATAAGGTGCACAACTTCTTTAGATATATGAGCAGATATCTAATTGCTTTTGTTCAAGACTTTCTTTGGTTTCTTCACTCTTTTTAATGGGCCCAACACTAAACCATCCTTCTTTAACGTGTGGGAAGGGTAGGTAACGTAACAGATGGGTGTACCTGAAAAGCAGTAGATGGTTCTATGGAGGTAGGAGGGAGAAGAGTTGCAGAGGGAGCTTAAGGGAAGGTTGGGAACTCAAACTAACAGAGCTTACGCAAGGGAAGTATAAGCCCAAGGTGAGGACTTCAGGCCTCCTCTATTTATAGAGGAAACTCATGTAATGAGATAGGAAACATTCCCCAAGCATGAAAGTTTGTCATTCTGTTAGATCTGGAACAAGTGGGCACAAGTAAGGTTTTGCCATGCGTCTCTGCAGAGATCCTGGGGTTTGGGTTGCCGCCCTTCCCCTTGGAATTTGCACATGAGCATGAGTGCAGCTGCTGCCCTCTTTGTAGAAGCCTGTTGTGACTTGGGCCTCGTTCGTTTTGCGGATTTTGGAAGGGGGGAAGTCGGTCAATGGGATTTCGATTCCCATTGACCAACTCTCCCATGTTCTTTTTCAAGATTTAGGTGGGACCCACAGTAAATACCTTTCCCTTGGGTATCACTACCTGGGAAAGTGTTACCCTTCTCCCACTTGGGAAAGTTAACTTTCCCTAACCCCCATCCTCTTAAGGAGGCTTACACCTCCTTGTGTTCGGGAGGCTTACGCCTCTTGCGTTCTGAACTACGCCTCACGCCTCTAGGTAGTGGAATGCCTCTCGTCACGCCTCCACGTTTTAAAACATTGGTATGTATAAATGTATATAGTTGGGCAGGGCTCGGGCCGGGTTTGGGTTACCTAAGGACTAGGTCCGAGCCCGGCCCGAAAAAAATGCTAGACTTCTTGGGCCTGAGGACTGAAAATCCAAGCCCAGCCGGTGTAAAATTCCGGGCTGGGCCCACCCAAGTTGCACCCCTTGCCACTTTATCTCTCAATTGTTCAACCATGTGACCTTTTAAAGAGTCACGTGACTTACTTAAGTCTAAGCCACTTTCTTGGGCCACTTTATTTCCTAACTGTTCAATCATGTGACCTTTTAAAGTGTCATGTGACTTAAGTCTAATCCACTCACTTGGGCCATTTTACCATTTGGTGCACTTGATAAGTCTTGGGCGGTGGACTTTTTCACAGGCCCATCTTTGGACACCTGTAGCCACTCTTTATTGGACACATTCTAGTTTAGGCCTACAATTGGCCCAACTGCTTTGGACTTTCCCTAGGCCAACCCCTCCCCTATTTTAATCCCTGTCAGTTGGTTTCCTTTAGCTACACGCTTAGGAAAGCCCTCCTGTTCCCTGCCTTTTGGTCTCCCCAACTCTTTAGCTTCCATTTTGGTGCAAAGTCCATTTACATTTGAATCCACCAATCCTATAGTGCCACACAGAGCTTCTTCTTCAACCTTCTCATCTCCCTCTCTACGTGCCTCTCTCCAGAGCTGAGCTTCAATGGCTGATAGCCAAACTGAAACAACCTTCCCTTCCTCCCTTAGTTCCACTTTCCATGGTATCTCCTCAGGTTTTACTCCATTTAGACCGATATCTGCAAGGTGATCTCCCAGTAAGCACCATCAAGAGTTGCACCACACAATTGTGCAATTGATTCAACAATTTCTTGCCTCCACAGGTGAAAAAGGCAGGCCCAATAGTCTCATTACAACTCCATCTTCTAACAAAGATATCTCTGGAGTTTGATCCTGGACACCAACTTGAGATTGTGAAATTTCCAATATTGGATTGGATGTTTAAGGTCATGCCTTACATTTCTCAAAGGGTGTTAAAATGAAGGTTTTCTTCAGCTTCAGCCTTACTATTAACAGACCTGCAACTGCCTTCCAATCCTTTATCCAGGAGCTAGCTACAACTATAAGTTTCTTTTCCCAATCTTCTTTCTTTAGATTCACTCCTATTCTGTCTCCCTGCACTATTCGCCACTACAAGAAACTCCTGCCTGTCCATCTTATCTTGACTTGTATGAGTGTTATCTGTTTCTTTCTCTTTTTTTTCCTCCTCTATTGTACCTTCTTGTTTTTCTGTCTTCCATTTCAGTATTTCTCCCCAAGCCCCCACTTATCTCCTTTCATCCATGACTCTGCCTTCCCTCTGGGAAGCAGACAATTTGCTTCTTTCCCTTAAAAAAGTACTCTGTTACTGATATGAAAGACCTTTTTGAGTTTACCTTGCTTTCTATCACATATTTTCTTCCATCTTCAGAGAGATATTTTTTGCAGTTGATTTGCTTGCACTTGTAACTTGCTTGCTTCACAAACTCCTTGACCCATTGAATCACTTCTAACCCTGCTAGCATCACCATCCCTCTCTTAGCTTCTCTAATCTTCAAACCCTGCATCCCTTTCAGCCTCATCTCTTTGAGTAGAAATGACTTTGCTTCTACCTTCAAAGCTTTTTTCCAATGACTTACATCTTGGAACCTCCCTTTTAGCTTCATCTCTGTGAAATTAAGAAACTCCCTCATCCATTTCTAAAATTGACCAAATTCTGGTAAAAAGAAAATCCAATCCAACAGCCAATTCCCAATCTTTGAACAAAGCTTCTCCTTGCTTCTATTTTTGCTTTGGAAAACTCTCCCATTCCTCTCCTTCCACACTTTCCAACAAGCTGCAAACGGAATACCAAAATAGATAGATTATTGATCAGATATTAATTGCAAATGAGAGTGTGGAGGATTTGAATAGAGTCAGGAAGAAGGGGATTGTGTGTAAATTGGATTTGGAGAAAGCTTATGATATGGTGGACTGGTCCTTTTTTAATCCAAGTGATGGAATGCTTTAGTTTGGGTAGAAATGGTGCACATGGATTCTGGGGTAGGAATGGCAACGGGTGGGGTACTTGTGAAAATTGTTCTTCCCATTCCCGAACCCGTTTAGGTACCCTTGAGCCCAAGCCCATCCCTAACCTGTTTACCTTTTCCTCCCAATTTTCCAAGCTCGTCCCGTCCCAAACCCATTTAATCCGCCCCACCCAATTATTATTTGACATATCCTGTTATTGCTATCATTTTTCAAATTTTAAATCCGAGTTTAATTACCTTAATTAATAGCCATTAAATCTCCATAATTGACTCTATTTAACATTTCATTTATTATAATTGACTCCATAACCTTATTTAACACACCACTTATAACATTAATTATCTTCATCTAATAATTAATTCACTTAATTCCATTTAAGTATTTTTAAATAAGTATTGTATAAAGTTAAGATATTAGAAGGTTGAAACATAAGCAGAAGAGAGGAGAAATAAGGAAGAAGAAGAGAAGGGAGAGAGAGGAGAGAAGGGAGAAGAGAAGAGAAAGGTTTTGGAGTCAACTGAACTGACTGGTGGTGCCAGCTTATATTAATATATATAGGGCGACCATAATTAAAAGGGAAAAGACCCTTATGCCCATACTTAAGTTAGAGTACATAAACAATGATTACAAACTACTTTAACCAAACCAAACAGACCCTAACTCAGCAGAATACAAGCATAAAAGTAAAGTAAGCATTCCAACAAAACATAATTATTTTAACCACTAGGCCACTTCATGATATATTGTTGAACTAGCATTGATAAGCAGCCTTATTATATTCATGTGTATTGAAGTATAGAAAATATTCATTTGCAAATACCTAGGTCTCGAATCATAAATCCCATAATAAAACCAGATTTGAATGCTTTTACCTCTATAATCTCAATTATCCATTTAATCTACTTTTTTATGACTAATTTCTTTGGAGAATGTGCTCTTTCAACTATACATAACATGATCATTAATGATATTTATAGTATTAGTTTGTTAAGCTATGCATATGTGTGTATATCAATGTTTCCTTGGTACATTTTGATGGTTTATACATCCCATTTTTATGGTGAAATTACACTTCACATAAAGTCATAAACTATTAAAATACATTTTTCTTATGATATATAGAGTTATTATAGTTGTAGATTATAAAAAATTCATATATTTCTAATATGTATTTAAATTTCCATGGTGCATCCATGTGTATCTTAAATTTTCCATTGTATATATACATATCCAAAATCCAAATATATTTCTTTTAATTGCATCATCAATATTCTTTGCATTTTTTGATACTTTGAACCTTGCAAGTAAAATGTGATGCCCCTCTTAAAAAGAAAGTGTGCTATGCCAGTGCTAAAGATGCCTATAATGGGATACAATATTTAGATAGATAGATAAACATGTTTATAGTTGGGTATTGAGAGCAAATACCTGCGTTACCTATAATTGGGTTCGAGTACTGGGTACCCTAAGGTCAAACCCAAACCCTATAAGGTTTTAATATAAAACCCCAAACCCTATAGGTTTTGATAAATGGGTCCTATTAGGGTGGGGACGGGTCGGATATCTTAAAATTTCTACGAATTTTCCATCCCTATTCTGGGGTGTATTGAGACGTGTTATGATTCAATCTTGGTGAATGGAACAATAGTGGACCACTTTTTGACAATCAGGGGGATTAGGCAAGGGGGCCCCCTCTCTCCTTTCAGCCTTTCCTCTTCACTTTAATTGCAGAGGTGTTGGGTAGATTAATAGAGAGAGTCGATTGGTTAGGGGTTGGAAGAGATAGAATACCTGCTACTCATCTATAGTTTGCTAATGATACAATTCTTTTTTGTGAAGGCGATGATGTGAGGTTGGTTAGAATTTTTTGTGTGGTGTCGCAGTGGCCTTTCCATTATTTGGGATGCCTTTAGGGATAATTCGAGAAATATTTACTTTTGGAACCCAGTAATTGATAGGTTCCTGAGGTTAACCTCTTGGAAGAAGAATTATGTATCTTTGGGTGGTAGAGTCATTTTGGTAATATCTACATTGTCCAATCTACTAGTGTATTTTTTTTTTTTGTCTTTAGAATCTCGAGAGAATAAGCAGAACTTTGGAAAAATTGGTGAGAAATTTCGTGTGGGAACCATGAGTGGAGAGAAGAGATCTTAGGGTGAATTGGGAAATAGCTTCTTAGAGTAGAGCTGAAGGAGGTTTGGGAATGGGAAACATCAAGAGGAGAAATGGGGCTTTGTTGGAAAAATGGCTGTGGAGAATACAAGGGGATAGGGATAAGTTGTGGGCTAATGTAATTTTGAGTATTGGAGAGGTAGAGCTAGGACGTTGGGATTTTGGCAAGGACTACTAGAGCTTCTTCTTGGAGATCCATACACGCCATTCTTCCATCCTTTTTGTCGTTTATCAAGTATGACCTTTGCTCTTGGAAACATGTGAAGTTCTGGGAACATTTTTGGGTGGGAAATATGCCATTGAAAGATCAATTTCCTCTTTTTGTTTTCATTTTCTTGGTATAAAGGGGAGGTTGTGTCTACTTTCTTGGTTCCTTCTGAGTCAAATTTTGGATTTGATTGGAACTTAGGTCTTACAAAGGCCTTAGGGATTCAGAAGTTGATAATGTCTTGGACTTAAGATTCTGAATGAAATGGTGTTGGATCCTTCAAAAACGGATAGTAGAGTTTGGACCTTGTTTTCCTTTGGTGTTGTTTCTTGTAATAATTTCTTCATAACCCTGGTGCGGTCCCCTAGCAGTAATGCTCAAACATTTCAAGTAGTGGAAGTGTGGGGGAGGGGGGGGGGATTTTATCTTTTAGATACAATGATTTGCCACATTTTTAGAAGAAATTTAGTGTTCTTAATAAAGAGAGTTTCTATTTTGTCAATCAATATACAAGCTGAATGTATATAAAACCAGGGAACTGGCCAAAAGTTTGTTCTTTGTATTATAAAACTCTTATCGCCTAGACATTGCCTAGGAGCCCCAATGTCACCCAGAATTGCCTAAATGCCTTGAAAACTATGACTGCTTCCATCAAAGTTCAATAAAAGGGCAGGTAAGCATGGCCCGCTAGGCCTGCGTGCCGGCCCAGCACGACCCGTTACAGTTCCGGAAGCTGGCACGACCCACATTACTCCTCTAGATACATGGATCCTGTTTCACCATTTTGTTCTGTTTGTCGGCATACACATATCCATTGTTTAAGTTATTAGTGCTTAATCATTTCTTTCTACTACCCATAACCTTTTTGGTCTACCTCTAGGCCCTAGCCCTTCTATCCCCTTTAACTTGCAACAAATCACTTCTTAGTTCTTACAGGTGCAGAATCTCTGGAATTCATTATTCTTGGGCAGTAAAAGAACCATTTATGTTGGAATATACCATGTTATCAGAGGCAAATCTGACTTAAAAATTATCTTGCTGGATGTTAAAAAAACACTAACGAGTTTTATTTGCTGAGATATGGTATTGCTAGATTCATTGTTGTATGTATGCTTGTAGAATTTTTTAATGTAGGCTGGCTTTTCATTGATCGGTCTAATACAACTTTTCTTTGAATCAGGTATTCTTCTTGTATGAATTCTGTACTTTAAGTAAGAGTCTGCAGCTGGTCCAGCAACTGCGACTGTTTAGGTAGGTAATTGGATATGGTGACTGCTTGTTTGTTGTAAATATATTGGTTCACAAAGATATATGTATGTGAATCGTTTTTTTTTCCTGTAGGGATCTCATGAATGAAGGCATTTTTGACATCATTACTGATGCTTTGCAGAGTCAAGATAAGAGACTTGTATTGACTGGGTAATGATTAAATTTGTGGTTTGTTTTGACTGTTCCATCTCTTTCAGTATATGCTAACATCTTTTTGGCATTGTTGTCATGGTAAATTATTAAAGGCAATAATTGTAATAATAATCTGGTCATTCTACTGGGGGTGCAGGACAGACATCCTTATTCTTTTCCTTAATCAGGATCCAAACCTTCTCAGGACATACGTCATTCGACAGGAAGGCAGCCCTCTTCTTGGACTTCTGGTATTGTTTGATTTATCATACTTTTTTCTATTTGTGTATTTGTTTGTGTTTTTCTTGAGCTTCTTTTTTGAAATTATTAGAAATGAAAAAGAGGCAATATATATATATATATATTCAAAAAATCGAATTAACAGCGTTAATGAGGGTGGGCTTTGGCGCAAATGGTTGGGTTGCTCCAATATGACGTGGGAGACCAGGTCACATTGGTGGGAACCTTGTGCACTAGGCTGCCATTTTTTAGCAATGCTAGCGGAATAATAGAAGAATACTAAATTATCTACTAGAATATATTTCGTTGTAACCTATTGCAATGGTGCCAAATGTTATTTACATTTCTGCTATGATGCCCCAATTATTTAAAAGGCATGCCTAGTTGAACAGACAAGGCGCCCCTATGTGCCTCGTTTAGGTCCCAGGCGCACCACTTTCAAAAGGTGCACACCTAGTTTGCCTTGTGCTTGAGTCCAAGCGTGCACTTTTTTTTTGGTGCCTTTTGGTGTTTTTTAAGCTTGGTTGATGCAAACCCAAGCAAGTCTTCTAAGAACCCCTATTAAAATTTATAGTTATAAAATCCTTTTTTAGGGGCTAAGAATTTTAAGACCCTAGCGTGGATTTTTTTGGGCTTGCCTCAAGGTGCCTGGTAGTTGGTACAAAGGTGGCTTGTAAAATTAGGAATGAAAGATGTGACATCACATCAACTATTTGAAATAATGCAATTGTGAAAGAAATGAAGAAATTAAAAGTTTGACATGCTATGTTTTGTCTACTATTTTTTAATTTTATATTTGCATTTTTGACTTTGGATACTTTTTATATATTATGTTTATGTATTTAAATTTGAGCTAATAGGCTTTTTTTAAAACATTTAGTGTAAAATTAAAGTACGAATTTTTTAATGAATTCTATTTTTAATATTTTCCTTTTTTTTTTTTTAAATTTTGCGCTTTGCTTGAAGAGGTGTGTGCCTTGCCTTGCGACTTGTGCCGCGGGTGCAAAATGGCCTTCACTTTTTTTGTGCCTTGTGCTTTTAAAACACTGTGGTGAGTCTGGTGACCAGATACCTGCATGTTGACTAATGTACTGGTTTTGGGCATGTTACTTGCTTGATATGATACCAGATACTGTATAGACACTTAAGTATACCTATTATAACTGATATTTTTGTCACTTTTAAAATATAAATATAAAATCTTGTAAGAAATCATACTATTAAAATCAGTATAAGTTAGAAGTTCAATTAAATTTGATAAAATAAATGTCTTGAGAAATGACTCTTAGCTTCAAAAACTAGACATAAAAGTTAGAAGTTCATATAAGCACATGCTATTTACTTTAATAATGCAAATGCCTATCCCTATTTCCCATCTGTCTGTATATCATAGCATTCTGTATATAAGGTATCAAAACCGTTTTTTGGGGTTTGCATTTTATATTTGGGCTTTGGTGTTGTCTAGTGTGCCCCTGCCTTGTTTTGTTCTTGGGCACTTGGCTTCACTGTTGTGGTTTTTTTTTTTTTTTTTCTGGGTTCGGCTTAGTAGTAGTTGAGCCTGTACATTCTCTTCTTTTCCTTTTTTTTTTCTTTAATTTTATGTTATGCTTTATCTTCTTCAGAAGAGGCCTCAAAATTCTAGTCTAGCTTTATAATAATGGGTGTTGATGGTTTTTATGGTATTGGAGGTAAACCAAATATCTATCCTTGATTGATTTATACCAAAGTACCAAATTGATGCTATTTTCCCCAACAACACTGTCAATTGATTTGTTGGCTTGCTACCTCATGTGAATCCTCATGGAAACATTCTGAATTGCCAAGTTGTGGTTTTACAGCTTGAATAGTTGATATTGTTCAGTTGTAGTTCCGTCCTGGTGGGGATGGCTTTAGTATGGGTTTTGAGTGTTCTAACTGCAATTCATTATGTGTGTGGTTTTACACCTTGAATATCTGATATTGTTCAGTTGTGGATTTTGAGGGTTGTTCTACTTATGGTAAATTGTATTTGTTCTTGCATATTTTGGATTGGTTGACAATGAAATTTGATGGGAGATGAGCTGTTTCCCCTTTATCAGCTATTATTTGCCTATATGGTATTTGAGAGTCTCCTGTTAATAGTATTTTAGATTGCGATGGTTTGGATAAGAGACAGATTTCAGTGTACTAGAGGATTCTTTATAAGATCAGAGAGGCATATTCTTTGTTTTTCAGATTGAACTTTTGGTTCTAAGAGATCCTAGATGTTACATCTCTGGAGACTGACAACCTTGCTAGGAGTAGGGGTTAGGGGTGATCATGGACCAGGCAGGGCCCAGCCTGGGTTCCGGGCCTGAAACATAGGGATGGGCTGTGCCTGATTCTGGGCCTATTACTTTTTTTTTATATTAAATATTACACATACATATTTTATGGCACATATTATGCATATAAACATATTTTATACATTATGTAATATAATATATTACATAATATATTATAGGTGTCATATCATAACATTTATGTATAACATTTATAATATAGCACAAAACCTAGACTTGGCCTTACCTATCCCACAAATTTCTGATTTTGGAAATTACCCAAGCTGACGTCAGTTCCTGAAATTTGTGGTCTGGGTCTGGGGGCAATACTATATACATATGTGTGTGTAATTCCGTATTATATTATGTATTATATTTTAAGAAGCTGGTTGTAATTTTCTGTACAAGGCAGACATATTTTTGGTATTGGACTGCCAAATGCCAATGACTCCATTTGGGTATTCCAACAGTGTGTGCTTCCTATTTGCCTGAAATCTAAAATTATTGTTTTCTTGTCACTATGGTAAAAAGAAAGAAAAATGAGGTCATTATAAATATTGGTGGGAAATGTGAATGCTATATTTTTTCTATAACCAAAAGCATAAATATTTGTAGGGTAGTATTCAGACATTTTTCCATCTTGGCCTTTTAAGTCTTTTCTTTTCAATTTGTTTTCTCATTGAAAGGATAGATAAGTCATAGTGGTTCATCTACAGGTTAAAGGTATGATAACAGATTTTGGCGAGGACATGCATTGCCAGTTTCTTGAAATTCTTCGCAGTTTATTGGACCCATATACATTGTCTGGAACACAGGTGCAATAATTACTCATGTGTTTGTGTAGTTTCTTTTCCTTCATTCAAGTAATTTGAATAAATTGCAAGTTGAGTTTCTTTTTTCTGAAACTTCACCTTGATGTTGGAGTTCTGATTTTCAAATACCAAAAGAGTACATTACATGATTATGTCTATAATATTTAAATCTATATGGATATATCTACGCTAGATTTACATTCTACCTATTGGTAAAGTTGGTTTAAATGTTGTCTATTTATTAGAGAGTCATTGGTTCAATTTTCATAGAAGTTATTTCCTATTCATTTTATTCTTGATACTCAATATTGATGTCATTTTTTATTTTATTTTATTAATAATGTACAATTTTTGATTAATTTTAGTTTATTTAATCAATGCTATTCAGTACCCAAAGTCAATGCGAATTTGATTCAACTTCAATCTAAATCTGATTGATAAGATTCAATTTCAACTCAAATATTAAGTAATCAAATTTCAATCTAGGTATATCTGATTCTATCTTCTCTAATTGCAGCCCTATTGTCGTTTTCATGACATATTTGCAGCTTCATCTATGAATTGTATACAGAAAGACCGTAGAACTTGACTTTAACTCAACTAAGCCTTGTCTGGTTTATATTGGATCAGCTACATGAATTCTGTTCCCCCATTCCGTTCTGTTTAATGCCATATTCATGTTTTGTGCCCTTAAATAATTTCTTATTACTTCATCCCGTGCCTTTTTTGGTCCGCCCTTGGCTATTCAAGATCCTTCAACTTGTAACAGAGCACTATTCTCATTGGTAGTGAGGCCTTCTAAGGGGGTTGGAACCACATGGTTTGAAGCACACCACACTCCACAAGGTGTTCTGTACTGTGTTGTAGATGTATTGTTAGCAAAGTTTTAAATAAAATATTTCAATCATTTACCACAATACATATAGTAATCAACCAATTTACCATGGTGTGGACTGTGGAAGAGAAATTGGATATTTTGTGTTTCAAAACCATCCAGAGATGGTTGCAAAATGCACCACGCCTATAAAAGAATGCCTAATGGGTGTTGCATGTTTCAAAATCATATTGAGCACTCCCTAATCTACTTTTCTTATCATCTATTGAATCTACTCCTAGGTTCTTTTAAACAAGCTCGTGTCTGATCCTTTCCTTTTCTAGTTTTCCTACTTATCCATCTCAATATTCTCATTTCTGCTAAACTCATTTTTTGGAGATATTACATATCACATTACTGAATTCATCCCATATCTTTCCAGTAGCCAGGCCATGCATACCATCAGCTCTGCCATTTTATGGCATGTCGAAACATACCCAAAATAGCTTATGAAGCTGGATACATTGTCTGTCTTGTTGAACTGCCAAAACCTCATTGTTTGTAATAGGCTGCTTACAACCATCAGTTCCGCTACTAGTTATGTACACCATATACAGCTATTCTATGCAAAAAATGTTATAGATTTTTTCTTGAAGCCTAAGAGCAAATAAATTTTCTTTGTCGAAACAGGCAACTTCAAACACCTTTTTTACATTCAAAATCTCATCCCTTTACACTCCCATCTTAGTGCACCTATGGGGCAAATCACGTTAGGTTAATTGGATGCTGCCCTTCTTGTTATAATTTTTTTGTCAGTCAAGTATGAATTAGATATGGGGGGCTATGTGGTAGTGCTCTCTTCTGGCTGAAACATTAAAAAATGGATATTTTAGTTTAGTAAATATTTATTTTATTATTATATTTTTCAAACAATTAAGAATATAGAAGGATTTCATATTACCATGTACAAATTAGATTGGTGATTAAGTGAGGTGACCCTCCATGAGCGCCTTACCACCTAGGCATCACCTTGACAACTGAGTGCAACAAATAGGAAGTACTATTGTTAATATTTAAATGACTAAAAATGCAAAAAGAAAAAGGATCTCTAACTTGTGACCTGCTGACCAGGTTGACAGTTCAATCGCTTGATTGACCAAGGCTCTGATCGGGTCGGTGGTTTTTTGCTAAAAGGTGGGTTGTGGGTTAACCCAAGCCAGTATTATGACTAGGCAATGGGTTGAATAGTTTGACCGGTCAGGTCAAGGAGTGTTTGAAAATTGCTAGGGAGTAATTTTGGGTTCCAAGTTCTCCTGTCCATATAGATAACCTTTATCCTAACCTGATGGGATTTCATCATGAAGTGACAAGTGCCCACACCATTGATGCTCTTAAAACTGAACCTGGTTGCCCATTCCACATCTACAGAAATATTCTTTGTGAAGTCATTCATGTACTTTGGGATAAGGGATATGATGCCATACTCCAAAAAGTTAAATGGTTCTGAAACTGCAAGTAACTGCAAACCTGAAGATTCACGTTCATACTAATTTATAGCATCCATCTCTCCATTGAGCAATATGGGGTATAGAATTATATTCTATTTCTTCTCAGGCATGCACACTTGAGCCCATTTCACAATTTTGAAAGATTGGCCTGCCCAATTTTCATGTTTTCTTAAATTTTATTCCATGTACATGGGGACAGATTTGGAAATGGTTGCCCTTGGTGCTTAATGATACTCTAAGAGCATGTACTTCTCATAATTCTATCTATCACAACTTTTGAGATCGATTTGTTCATATTGCTGAGGAAGAACTTGCCTCAGATGGTTCTATCTAGGGAAACAGGAGTGCTTAGTCCATAAGAAGAACAGATAGGATGTTCACAATTATAACCTTATACAGTGAAAGCACTATATAGTAAGCAGTACATATGATCATACGTTCCTGAAATGAAATGTAGGACAAGTATAAGGAACTGACCAAAAAATTTTTGTTCCCTCGGCCAGACTGTTCGCTGACCTGGAAATCTAATTGAATTAGTGATTCATTGTAGATACCAATAACCTGGTTTATCTTATGAGATGACTTAGGTTAAATCAGTCAGGCCCATAGCCCATTGAACTACTAAGCTTGAGACTTTGGAGAAGTGCTAATTTTTCAGCCTTCAAAGAGTTTCCTTCTCTAGCTGGTGACTTATCAACAATTTTCTAGTGTGATGTCAAGTATGGTACTCCTAAAGCATCATGACTTTGTCCTTGTGCATGTAGTAATACTAAAATCAATGACTCTTCATATGATCTTTAAGTCTGGGAAATAAATGCATCTTGGCAAGAGGAAGTGAAGAAATTGGGCTAACCTGAAAAATGTTGGGTTGGGTTAGGGTTGACTTGTACCCTTAGAGTTGTGTATTGTTATGGTGGAAAGGCCTTGGTTCTAGATGACTTTCTTATGGATTTTCACAACAGCTTTAATCTTTCCAGAGCACCAAATTCAACTTTTATCTGTCTTATTCGCAAGATGCTAGGCGTTTGCGGTTGAAGGACCTTAGACCCATATATTTGTTAGGCAACATTTATAAGGTGATCTCTAAGGTGTGGGCTAACTGGACTTAGAGGGCATTTGTCAACGGTTGTCATATCCTTGATGGATCACTCATTGCCAATGACTGGATTTGAGTTTGCAGGAGGGAAAGGATTGAGGTAAGGGGATCTGGTTGATACAAGGGATGAGGTAGGAGGTCACATTTGAAGGTTGCGTGTAAGGACAATCCTAGAGATTGCCATGAAGAGTGGTATTTCTGTAGTGCCACATCATATGTTTGAGGCAGTACACTTCCAAATATTAGTGGTAACCCATTCTAATTGGAAAGGTACACTCCCAAATATTGAAAATTGGCTGCTGCCCTATAATGTAGATGTGGATCCTTTATTTTGAGAATGCTCTTGGGCCTTTCCTAGTTTTCTTATGTACAAGCTATAATTGAAAGGTTCAAGCATAAATTGGCTGGGTGTTAAGTGGGGCTAATTATCAAATGGAGCTAAGCCATCTTTCAACACACACTATCAAACCTACCCTCTATTCTTATCCCTCTTAACTATTCCAGCCTTTCTAGCTAATACATTGGAAATGTTAAGGAGTTTTTTTTTTCGAGAAAATTTAACCAAGGATTAAAGGTTGGAGGGTAGGTAGAAATCAGGTGATTGTTACCCATCTCCGTTTTGCAGACAACACCATCTTTTTCTGTGAAGGAAACAATGAGGAAGTGGTGGAAAATCTGAGGGTGCAGCTGAATAATTTTGTGGGAGTGACAGGGCTAAGGATAAATTGGACCAAAAGTGGAATTGTAGGTGTCAATTTGGAGGAAGGAGAACTAATAAGTTTTGCTGAGATCTTGGGGCGTGCGATCAGAAGCTGGCCTATCAGTTACCTAGGTCTACCTTTAGGAGGAAACCCTAGGTCTGTTGGGTTTTTGAAACCAGTTTTAGAAAGATTTGATAGGAAGTTAGTCTTGTAGAAGAGGAATTATATTTCTTTGGGTGGAAGAATACCCTTGATTAGAGCCACACTGGCAAACCTCCCCACCTATTTCCTTTCAACCTTTAGAATCTCTTCTAGGGTAGCAAGGTGCTTAGAGAAGTATATGAGAGATTTCCTTTGGGATCCAGGAGAGGAAAGGAAGGACCATTTGATCAAGTGGAAGCAGGTTAGCTGCACTAGCAAACCTAAGGAACAAGGGGGTTTAGGAATTGGGGACATCCTATTAAGGAACACAGCTCTACTAGGTAAATGGCTTTGGAGGTTTCCCTTTGAGAGCGACGGACTATGGCACAAATTGATTGAGAGCATTCATGGGGTGGATGGAAATGACTAGGATGCAAAAATTTCCCTTCACAGTTATTTGGCTTCTCCTTGGATAGCAATTCATGAAATCTACCCTACTTTCCTCAATTCCATACGGTTCGATGTGGGACAAGATAATCAAATTCTGTTTTGGGAAGATCTATGGGTAGGGGAAACCCCACTTAAAGACCAATTTCCTGATTTCTTTGCACTATCTAACCTCAAGGGGGAAGCTATATCCATGTTGGGAACACTGTGTCCAAATGGTGTGAACTGGAACTTGGGCTTCAGAAGGGGACTAAGGGAAAATGAGTGCGAGTCTTTAATCCTATTGCTGGACCTTC